GTTAGGTAATTGCAGGTATGCCTTGGGGTGAGGAGGTTTACTTGGATCCTGGCCACTCTTGTGTCTCTCTTTGCTTTCTGGCTGCCATGAGTTGAACCAGCCTCCTCTGTCACATCCTCCCTGCTACTCTGTGCCACCCAGGCCCAAAGCAAGGGGTCTCAGTGACCACGATCTGAAGGTACAAGCCAAAGCACATTCTTCCTCTTACATTGTCTCTCTGGGATATTTTGTTACAGTTATGGAAAGCTGACCTGAATACTAAGAGGAGATCTCAATGAAGCAGAGAAAGGAAGCAAAATGATCTGTAATATATGCACCATAATTTAAAGCAGGAGTCAGCATGCTTCTTCTTAAAAAAGGCCAGGTAATAAACAACTTAGCCTTGTTGGTCATAAGCAGCCAAAAATAATATACAAACAGATGAGTGTGGCTATACGACAATAAAACCTTATAGATGACCATTGAAATTTGAGTTTAATGTAATTTTCACAGGCCATAAAATATTGTTCACTTTAATTCTTTCCAACTATTTCAAAATACAAAGGCCATTCTTATCTCACAGCCTGAGGAAACCCCTACAAATGGCCAAATGTGGTTTGCTGCTCTAATTATCTGCCTCTTGCTTTATATTTTTTAATTTTATTTTTGGAGACAGAGTCTCATGTATCATAGACTGGCCTTGAACTTCCTATGCAGCCAAGGCTGACTTTGAATTTTCTATACAACTGTGGCTGGCCTTGAACTTCTAATTCCCTCAAGTTATGAGATTATAGGTGTGCATCACTGTGTTTAATTTATGTGGTACTGAGAATTAATACCAGGACTTCATGCATGCTCAACAAACACTCTATAAACTGAGCTACATGCCTAACCCCAATTCCTGCCTTAGAAAACTAACTTCTCAAAGTTCAGTCCACAGTCCACCAACCATGCAGCATCTGTAAGAAATATAGAAGGAAGAATCAGTGGGGTGCCACCCACATGTTTTACTTTAAGAAGCACTGGTATAAAGTCTACATAGACTCATCAGTCAGACTGTGATCAACCTAGGTACTGTACCTAGACAGAGGTGACCTGGGAAAATCTGAGCCTCTTTGTGCCTCAATTTCCCCATATGCATTATCTCCCTCAAGCATCTTGTGAAAATCCACACTCATTCAGGCACACATATATCACTGAAAACAAGAGTTGTTATCATTACAAAACTTAGGTGGTTTTCATATCCATCCTCTGAAACAAGCAACATATTTACTAAAATAGTAGAGAAAAAGGAGAAATTCATCCAGGATGAGAGTTTTGAGAGAAAGGAAAGGTTCAAGTGGACAAAGTCCTCCAGGCCCCAGGTAATCACCACAAGATATCCTTCTAAAGACCTGCTCTCTCTCCCTAGCATCCTTTTAGTTCATACACCCTTCAAAATCCCCTAAGAGTACCTGTCACACAGGAATCTCCAGGAATCTGTACCCCAATTGGTTCTTTAATTCCATGAAATTTATCTTCCATTAAGATGCATATTGTTTTTTACAGCTTCTCTTTCTAGTTATAGATTGTAAATTTTCCTTCTGCTGAGTCTGGGAGCTGACTGACTATTTTTCATTGTATTTGTAAGGCTCAGGGAAAAAAGGGGGAGGCCATTCCTTTATTTGAGAATTCTGACATTTATTAGCATAATAAAACTCTCAAGATGAAATTGCAGTTTTCCAGACAGTAATTTCATTTGCAGGACAACTTACAAGGAATTTATTTGAAAGCCAGGTAAAATCTAAAATATATGAGACGTGCAGAAAGTGCAGGCCCCAAATAAAATGAAATAAATGCGTTAGAGATGGAAAATTCAGCTGTTATCTCTCGCATATTAATTAGGAGTCGACAGGAACCATAGCCAGGATGTCAGGTTTTCAACCCATCCTGGACTCCTTTCAAAGCTGCTGTTGGAACTTTCTTCCAGTGTGGGGAAATCATCTCGTGGAATCCCCTGACACAGCACTACTTGGCAGGACGCTGCCACTGTGTGGTTGTGGATAGCAAGGTCTTTCATTTGGACAGAGGTACCCTATTTGTCACTTAATTGATCAGCCAGAAGAAACTAATGATGACCACACAAAAAATCCACTTCCCAGTTACACAGAGGTTTAGTGAGATTCGGTGACCTGAACAACTTCACACAGCTGATACATAGCCAAGTCAGTCAGAACAAAAGTGGGTCTTCTGAGTAGAAATAATGTAATTGGGATAGCTCTTGGCTATGGTCTGAGAGTACCATAGAGTTCAGAAAGCAGGGTCTCTCCACCATCACTTCATTCATTCATGTCATGGTGCAGGCTGACTGCAGGGAAGCTATAGAACTGATACATAAAATAATATTACTGAGCAGATTGGGGCTGGTTATGGTGTCACGCACATGTCATCCCATCACACAAGAGGCTAACATAGGAAGATCGTGAATTCAGGACCAGACCTGAGCTACATAATAATTTCCAAGCCACTTGAGCTACCTGGTAAGACCCTGACTCAAGGCACAAAAAGTAAAATACATATTTGTCTGGTAGGTACTTACTTTTGGTTCTCAAAGGGTAAAAACTAAGTAAAATAACTACGGGGATCAGGGGTAGCATCCCAGAAGAACATCCCAGAGAGGTGAGAGGCAGAGAATGAGTGACAGCAGGGGTGTCGGTGGACCTGGCTACTGTCTTGCACGACTGTCTTCTCAGAGACCACATCAAGAGCTGACTTTCAGAACAGTCCCTCCAGGAGGATGAAGGAAGAAGACGTGATTGACCAAGCTGAGCATTAACCCAAGGTTCACTGCAGCAACAGGAAGTAAATAAATGGTAACCTTTTTTGTTTGTTTGTTTTCACAAAAAGGGAAAAGTGAAGCCGGGCGGTGGTGGCACATGCCTTTAATCTCAGCACTTGGGAGGCAGAGGCAGGCGGATCTTTGTGAGTTCGAGGTCAGCCTGGTCTACAGAGCGAGATCCAGGAAAGGTGCAAAGCTACACAGAGATACCCTGTCTTGAAAAATAAAGGGGGTGGTGGTAAAAAAAAAAAAAAAAAAAAAAAAAAAAGACACAACCATAGTGGTACACACTTACAATCCCAGCAGATGGGAATGGAGACAGGAAGATTGGGAGTTCAACATAGTGAGTTTAGGGTCATGATGCATTCCATGAGATCCTATCTCAAAAAAACAAAACAAAACGCAAGAGTGATGAAGGACAACTGGAGTAATTAGACCGATATTCTGAGTCTACTGATGAAGAAGCCTAGAAAATTTGGGCCAATGTGTCATAAAGATGCTATGATGTACTAAAACTGTTTCCTTACCCAAAAATTCAATCTCAATCTCATCAAGCCAAGAAAAATTAAACAGAGTCAACATAAAAATAACAGCAGGAAGCAATAAGACAAATCTGGAACACAGGTTATTTTGCAGAACTTCCCAATTTATACAATAAATCATGGGCCCAGTAAAAGCAAAGGGGGTGTTATCTGAGACTTAAGAGAATACCAGATGCTACATGTAAGTCTTGCTCAGACTGTAAGAGAAGAAAATATGAAAGAGCCCTTCTGGTCCTAGCCCTTACTGAAGAAGTCCTGGGAGTTGACAGTTGCTGGGAAAGATAGTCTCTCTTCTTTGAAGATGTGGCCCCTAGTAAGATTTCCATTGTGCAATGAAAGGCTACACTTATGTACATATGGTCAGCACTAATTGCACTTAGTGAGTTATTTTTTTATAAATACATGGTTTTGGAAGCATACTGGGGTGGATACGGGAGGAGGATGGGGGAGGGGACAGTAAATATTATCAACTTATCAAGTTTTCATTGTACAGATGTATGAAATTCTCAAGAATAAAGAAGACCTGTTTAAAGGATAAATAGATAAATGCCCCCTAAAAACCATGTGTGGCCAAGTGTCATCGGCCTATGTACAAGTGAGGCCAAAGAACACAGTGAATGAACAAAAGCAGAGTCAGTCACACACTGGCTGCAGTGATAGGCATGGGGGTAGGTGATGGCACGGGCGGCCAAAGATGAGAGAAAAAGAAGAGCTGAGAGACTGAGTGGAGAACGAGAGACACCTGACACAACTCTCCAAGCAGATGAAACACTCCTTGATGTTTTCAGAGTCTCTCTGTCCTTTTGGTGCAATCCAAACCCAGGGCTACAAGGTTATAATTTCAGTAAATTTGGGAGTGTGGATTAGAACCCAAACCTTCCAGATTTCTGAACCTGTAGTTCTGCTGTCACGTCTGCTCTCTGCTTGTCTGTGGCCATAAGGGAACATGCATAAGGGATTATGCTTAAATTATATGCCATTCTTGAGAGTTACTGAGTGATTGGGAGCTTACTCTCATCATATGAAGAACACGTTCGGATTAAGGAGACAGAAGAATTAGAGTGAAAACAGAGCTAACCCTTTAAATGAGAGTATCCTAGACAGCCAATGCCTCATCAAGTTTGGAAAACCCATCCTTGGATTTATAATCTATACCAGATCTCGTGAATATTCACATGAAATCACTACCTCAAAATTACAAAACAGGAGCCAAGATATGAGATAAGGTAGACGTGATTTAACAAGGAAGATAGCACAGAGTCAGTCTCCTGTTCCGAGCTTAGAAACCTCAGGTAATTCTCATGATAGTATCAACAAGCTCATGAACACTAGGACAGACGCAAAATCTGTTTCTTCCATTTAAGTTAGTCACAAGCGTGCATGTGATCTCTGTGGTTTTATGATGTAGTATAGAAAATAATTTGCTAGAAACCATTGCACATTGGTGTTGGGTGTTTTTTTCTGAAGAGCATTCACTCAACAAACAAACCTATATTAAATGTAAAGTTCGGCACTGGAATTGTTTTGGGTTAGTAAAACATAATCCATTCACTCGAGAAATTTGGCTTAGAACAGCCATGACAGACAGGCTTCCAGGAGCATCAGTTATTTCAGGTTTCTGTCTTGAGCTTTGGAATGTGACCAGTCTCATAAATGGGACCAGTCATATTTTGTAACATTCTGGAGACTCACTAATACCATTGTTCATCTGAAGAATGATGGATCTTCTAGAAGGCCATGAGGCTTTCAGTAGGGATATTCTTAAGCTCAGTTCAAGTTCGGGATATTCAAAGGAGTCCAAAGAGGAAGAGGAAAAACATCATTCAAACAACAGGTGATAGTCTGGTGGGCTATCCCTCTGTCCGCAAGGTTCCTGCAGCAACTCTCCCCCTGAAACAGTGATTATTTCCTCCTAAAGGGAAAAAAAGAAGAAAGGAAATCCAATTAGGAGCAAGAAGAGATATAAATATTCATGGGGAATCAGGTAGAGAACTAGAGACAGAAAGACTAAGGCCATGCATCTACCTTCCCTCACTCAACTTTCCAGAAATAAAAGGAGAAATCTTTTAAGAAGAAATGCATCAGTGCTGTATAAGAAAATAAGAAGGAAGGCCACCAATAAGTAAACTCCAATAAATGTTTGCCCCCATTCTTGGTGAAACTGAGGAGACCCAAAGTACAGACATTTCCATACTCTTTGAGAGCTACTCACTATTGGCCCTAAGCCTATAGCAGAAGACACTGGATTTGGAAAGCAGAAATTGTCTATTCACCAATAAACTTGATATTGAAAGTTGGAAGACTATTTCATTCTTGAAGCATTCAAGGACCACCTCAATGATAACAGAAAAATGTCAAACTCAATAGTTCAAAAGATTTCTAAGAAAATACCAAGCTTATGAAAGAAACAGAAGGAAGCTTTAAGAGATCTACATTATCTTTCTCAACAGAATAAGTCATCCATGAAACAAGAGTGGGCTGTTATAAGAAAAAAATGAGCATGCAATTGAAAAACATGCCTGTTTAAATTAAAAATATTTTCAGCAGAATAGATGTAACTAAAGAGCAATTTGGTAGGTACAGGAATTGTAATATCAAGAAAAAGATACCTAAAATAGAAAATGGACTGTGAATAAGAAAGCAGAATTTACAAGTGACTAACTGGAAGTAGCCATAAAGTATATGAAAAGACACCTCAGCATCAGTGGCCATGAAAGAAATGCAGACTAGACAAAAGTGAGCTACAGTATCTGCCCATGTGATGGAAGAAACAGCCTCGTATAGTTCTAGCAGGAACATGAATCGGTGCCATGTTTTTGGATGGCAAGCTGGCAGGTCTTCTTTAATTAAAATGTGCATACTTTTCTTTCCAGCACTTTCAGTTCAAGGAATTGATCCTGGAAAATGCTGCATATGTATCCATAGTGACAAAGTGACATATACATAGTACAGACGTCTCTGAAACACTGTTCATGATCATGAAACTGGAAGGTGGAGAGATGGGCACAAGAGGAGTATGAGTAATTATGCTGTACTCTACACCCATACCAGAGAATCCATGGAGCATTTACAAGGTCTACTACATATACTAATGTGGAAAAATCTGCCAGACATAATTTTGAGACAGGTTCTTATGAGTCACAGGCTAGCCTTAAACTCACTATGTAGCTGAAGATCACCTCAAATATTTTATCCTCCTTTCTCTCCCTCTTGAGTGCTGAGATCATAAATTTACTTATACATACAGTTTATGCAATGCTGGAGATGAAACCCAGGGCTTTGTGCTACCAAGCACTCTAATAACTTACCTTCGTTTCCAACCCCTCCTAACTGTACTTTGCTAACAGACAGCACCTACTGATGATGTGATAATATTTTTTTCATCACTCTACACAGTGATGCCTCATTGACATCTCACAGGGACGCCACTGAATCCACCCTACTGAAGAGGAAACTGAGCCACAAAAGCCTGAGTAGTAACCCAAAACCATGCATGATAATGAAGTTGGGATTTAAACTTGACATTCAGATTCTGGGGACCATGAATTGGTGCCATGGGGTTGGAGGTTAAATTGTTGGGTTATATGCTGTGAAAGTCACAAAACTACTATGCAGGCGTGGTGGCACTGGTAGAAGCAGATGTGTGAGTTCGAGGCTAACCTGGTATACAAAGTAAGTTCCAGGACAGCCAGTTATACAGAGAAACCCTGTCTCAAAAAAAATCACAAAACTATGTATTTTCATATGTGCATGAGTTTTGCTATTACTGTCTAGCAAATAACACATGGCACATTAGTAATTCAAGGTAAAAGATGGAATTGGATGCTTGAAATGAATGAGGCTCACATATTAATGTAATCATAAACTAATGGTGTAATTAAAACTTAATTTATCAAAACTGACCACCAGACCTCTTTGTGGGCATAGATGATATCTCTGTGTAGGGCTAGAAGTAAAATTGTGGATCTCCAGAATTTAAATTTGGAATGAAGAAAGACTTTCTGAGACATCTTGTCTGGCTTCCTGTGCAGAACCTGCCCTGAGAGCTGGGCATGGATACTGGTCTGTGAAGAGGGCCAAGATGCCTCCATAACACAGGGGTCATAGTGATTATTAGGGCATATATGCTTGATCCAGAACAGTGCTACCAGAATCCACACACTCCCTTCTTTCCTCCTTCCTGTGGCTGTTAGAAGATCCTTCCTAACACAAGTAGAAATCTACCCTGACCAAGTCTAGTTCCACAGTAGTACTCTGAGCCCAGGTATCTATGAATGAACAATTTTCTCTTCTGTCCTCTTGTCTGTCTCTGTCTCTGTCTCTGTCTCTCTCTCTGTCTCTCTCTCTCTCTCTCTCTCTGTCTGTCTCTCTCTCTCTCTCTCTCTGTCTCTCTCTCCATTTGGTGTAGTGTTGCTGCTGCTGCTTTGGTTGGTTGGTTAGGGGGTTTGTTGTTATTTAGAGCTATTTAACCCAAGCTTCCCTTGAACTGGTGATTCTCCTGCCTCAGCATCCACGGTGTTGGGATTACAGGTGTTTCCCAACATGCCTAGATATATAGGTGATTTTCTATGTTTTTTCTTATTCATAAGGCCAGGTGAGGAGGTATCTCTCAAGGCCTGGGGTCTTCTGAGGATAGATAAAAATTTTAAAAAGCAATATACAATCCAAGAGATGCTATTACAGAAAAATCTAAGTACAAGCAATTCTCTGACACCTTCTACACCTGTGAAACTCATTCGATGTTAGACCTGGAGGTCTCATAACTATCTCAGAATCCCTCAGACATTCCATTCTTGTTGAGGAGGTACTACTATTTTGCAGTTATGACAACTACCAACAACTGCATTAACACAAAAACTGCTTCTCACTATGCTATATGTGAGACATTTGCAAGGCAGCATCTTTCCTGATGTGGGTCAATGAGATAGGAGAAAGGACAGAGTTCTAGACACAGGATTTCCATACTCAGTGGACAGTCACAGGATGCAGTTATGGATATAATCTTGTTTAAAGTCTACAAGATTTCAAATAAGCACTGTGTGTATTCATATGCTTGATTTTATGCTTTGAATAGGCTCCCCAACAGCATGTGTTCCAAACATAATTGCAATTTAATGGTTTGAAGGGATAGGACCCAGAAGAGGCAATCAGGTCAAAGGGTTCTGCCTCCACAAGTAGATCAAAGCCATTATCTCAGGAATGGGCTCCTTGTTATGAAGTAAGTGTGCTCTTGTGCACGTGTGTATAAGGGGGGATGCATATGTCTTCGTGTGTACATGAGAGTGATCTTACCTGTGCACATAGGAAAGTGTGGAAGCCAGGGGTCACTCTCCAACTTAAATTTTGAGACAGAGCCCCTCCTCTGAGCCTGAAACTTGCCATTTTGGCTATACTGGCTTGTCAAGGAGCCCTCAGGATGTGACTGTCTCTACCACCTCTCTCTCAACCTAGCACTGGGGTAAAAGTGTATGCTGCCATGACTGGCTTCCACATGGGAGTCGGGGATTTGAGCTCAGGCCTCATGCTCACACAGCAAGCCCCTCCCTACTGAGCCATCACCATAGGCCCATATTTGGCCCTCTCTTGCTCTTGCCCATTCTCTTGTCTCTCTCCTCTCTCTCATTTGCTCTTCTACATTCTACCAGGAGATGGACATAGCAAGAAAACCCTCTGTGAGTGACAGTCCCTTTGTCTTGGACTTCTCAGATTCTGAAACTGTGAAAAAAATGGGTTTCTTTTCCTTATAAATTTTTCAATATATTTTGCTCTGTTGTAATTGCAACAAAAGCAGAGGACACAGAATCTCAGCAAGACTAAGTGACCTGGCCAAGATCACACATGTCCCAAGTAGAAAAACAAGTTCAGACAAGAAAAGTGGTGGTGACTCTATGGTGGAGATAAGCTTCTATAGCCACATGGATGCTTGCTGTACTCTAGGTAGTTTCAAAGCTGCCAGAATTCTGGGCAGCAGTTGTTCAGAGAGGTGAGACAAAGACAAGGACTTGGACAGAGAGACAACTGTCAGCCCCTGTGCTGACAATAGGCACTCAAAGGAGAGAGGTCTGAAAGTGGGGTTACAGATGCACATGGGTCAAACCATGAGGCATGAGGCAGAGGGGAAAGCATGGGCCCCAGAGTCTACCCTGGACAACCTCTGGTCTCTTCTACCTGGACGTGCCATAGTTCGGAGATTCTGCAGCCTTAGGCTTGTAGCCTGCACCTGCTGCACTTGCACCAGGCTCTCTTCAGCCCAAGTTTCTGCCAATCCATACCCTACTAACACTTCAAAGAGGGGTACCTTGTGGAAATCAATGAGATCCGTGAGGGTGGCATGGCGATTAGGGTCCACTCCTAGAAAACTGTAGAAGTCCCCAGAGGCATCCACAAGGAAGTGCTTGAAGCCCCTCTGTAGGCGGTAGGACAGGGTGTAACCCCAGATCTTCTCACTGACCCGGACCAGAAATGCTCCCTCGGTCATACTCTCCAACAGGTCTTCTGCATTCTCTCGGCTAATAATTCCTAATTTAAAAAAAAAAAGGAAAGTAGAAAAATTAAAAGGGCTTTATAGGTTCTGTACTTCCTTCTATTCCACTGCTAAGTCATCTCCCACCCCCTTCTCTCTGGCTCAGTTCACGGGCCAACCATGCTGTCTGGGGTATGGGAAGGGAGGAGAAGGGCCTTAGGGGTTGGCTGGTTGCTGCCTGCTATGGCAGTTTACTAACCCAGAACAATCAGCTGTGAGCCTGAGGATAGCATTCCTACAAGAACCAGAGTGGAGCATGCTTTCCTCCAAATTAAACCACACTAATTTGGATTAATTAGGTAAACAAGAAATTACTAATGAGCTGGAATTATAGTACCTATTGATTACAAATACTAGAGAGTCTTAAAGTCCAGAGTTAATGACTAGCCAGAATGATGGAGAACCATGCTACAACAACCTGGTACAGTAGATGAAACCTGAATAGTGTTTTCTCTTAAGACAGGAGGTCCAACCTTGTGACATTGAAACACAACATTGTCCTCAAAAGAAGTTCACCCAAAAATAATGCACAATCATAATGCTCTGAGTATGTTTACAATTTTCTTCATAGCTGTCCTGGGGCACACGAAGCCCCTGTGCATGAAGGAAGCTCCCTCTGGATGCCTATGCACACTCAGCACAAGGTTCCTTAGTGGGACAAATAATAAAACTCCATCTCACACAAGGACAAGAACTTTCTAAGATGCTTCAACCTATGCCATGTGGCACCAGCAGAGTATGGAGGTCAAGTCTGGTCTTGGAATTACTTATGCATTGGCAGCACTCCCTAGAAATGCTTTCATAAAGATGCCTTCATCCAAGCGACTTGGAAAAGCCAAGTATTTGGTGGGTTAAATTCTGGAGACTAGGAAGATAGGGAGGGGAGAGGGAACCAGAAGAGGTAGATTTGTCCTTCAGCACCTCCCCACACCAAAGGATCCTCTGATAAACCATTAATTTCTCTGATGCTCTTTGATATTCATGTGATTATAACCCAGATCTATTCCACAGGTACATTATGGCTTCCAAATCCAATAAAAAGTTCCAGATGTATTTGGTTGGTTAGTTGGTTTTGATCCTGGTAATAGTCGTGGGTTTGGTGGGTTTTCTGCTGTTTTGGAAGAGTAATAAATTGAAACACAGCCCCCTCTGCACACCTACTTGCCTCGTTAACAAGGGTCACACCCTTTATGTTCCTTGTGCCTGAGGTAGGGGACACCGGTACCCTCATTGCCAATACCCCTTTTAAAGACAGTCAACATGCTGGAGGGCTACTGTCTACATCTTCTACAGGACTCATAACAAATGGCAACCAAGCTGGCTAGCTCTCCCAAATCAGGCAAAGTGGATAGTCCAGGAGATAGAGGAGGAGAAGGAAGGCCTCCTAGCCACAGAACACCTAAAGAAAGTACATTGCCCCATGCCAGAGCTACACCATAGAGAGATCCCAAATAAGAAGCACAGAAGAATTGTTTTGTGATAGTTTTAATTTTCAACTTGACACAATGTAAAATCACCCTAGACAATCTAGATCAGACTGGTGGTGTGCATGTCTATGCAGAATTGTCTTGAATTCCTTAACTGATGTGGGAAGACGTAGTTGGTATTTTCTTTGGGCTGCCAACCAGCTCCCAAATAAAGACATGGAGACTTATTATTAATTATGAATGCTTGGCCTTACCTTAGGCTTGTCCCACTAGCTCTTTTAATTTAATTTAACCTGTTTCAATTCATCAACATTTTGTCTCAGGGCTTTTTATCTTTCTTTCACTCTATATGTTCAACTTTCCTGCTTCCTCTATGTCTGCCTGTCTGGCCCCTAGCGTCTCTTTATTTTCTTCCTTTTCCATCTTCTCCTGAGCCTAAATTCCTCCTTCTACTTACTCTTCTTGCCCAAAAGTCAACCTATACCTCCTCCATCACTATTGGCCATTTAGCTTTTTATTAGACCAATCAGGTGCCTTAGGCAGGTAAAGTAAAATAGCAATACATCTTTACATCATTAAACAAATATATCATACCTTTTCATAGTTAAACAAATATTCCATAACAGAAACAAATGCAATATACCTTTACATTGTTAAAAAAAAATGCAACACAATTTTGCATAAACATATATTCTGCAACAGGAAGACCCAGCAGAAAAGTGGGCCACATAAAAATAGAGTATAAAATACTGAACTGTATAAAAATAGAGAAATCTAACTCAGCACTAAACATACACACTTTTACTTATTTTCTGCTCTTGACTGTAGATGTGATATAACCAGCAGCCTCAAGCTCCTGGCCCTGATTTACCATGTGATAGACTGTAACCTAGAACTGTAAACCAAATAACTCTTTATCCCCTAAATTGCTTCTTGTCCAGACATTCTGCTACAGCAACAGAAATGTTGCTAAAATAAGATTGTGCATCAGTTAGGGTCTTCCTATTCTAGGAACTACATCATTACTACATTTGTAAGCCATAACATTGGTATCTCAGAAAAGTGAACTTGAGGGAGTTAGTTACTAAACAATCTACTTTAGGAAAGCAGACAATGTATCCTAGGCAGAAAATGAGGATCAGGAAAGAATGGTGAGTGCATGCTATGGTTCAGTCTAAACACAAACAACAAACTAACCTTACAGCATGATGAGAACAGACAGAGAAGTTTAAAAAGCTCAATTACAATGGATAATGAAAATGTGGTAGCTGTACACAATGGAATTTTATTCAGCTGTAAAGAAAAAAAATGAAATGATGGAATTTGCAGGAAAATGGATGCTTAGAAAATGTTATACTGAGTGAACCAGTTCCAAAAAGACAAACATATGTGTTTGTCCCACTCAAATGTGTATCCTAGCATCGAATCTTTAGATTTATGTGTTTAATTTATCCCTAGAATCCAGGAAACTAGAAAGGGGTATTGGTGGGGAGGAGGAAGAGAGATCTTAAGGGAGGAGGTGTCCTGCTTTCTTACACACTGTAACCAAGAGCAACTTGAGAAGGAAGGTGTCTCTTTTGGTTCACAGTTACAGTCCATCACTGAAGGAAGTCAGGGCAGGAACTCAAGGCAGGAACCTGGAGACAGAAAGTGAACAAGGAGTCATGGAGGAGTGCTCCTAACTGACTTGGTCCCTGTCATTTGCTCAGCCTGCTTTCTTATACCAGGAAGAATCACTTAACTATGGGTGGCAATGTCCCCAGAGGGCTCACCCTGTTCTAAAAACTTGCTTACATGTTCTCAACTGAGACAACTGAGATTCCTCTTCACAGATAACTTTAACTTGTGTCGAGTTGGGAAAAAAAAAACCACTAACTAGGTCAGGGGGATAGTAGAACACAAACACTCTCAAGGGGGAAAGTGAAATAATGGGGAGGAAGTTTAGGTGGGTAGAGAGATGGTAGGACAGGACAAAGGAGGAAGTGGTGGAGGGCCAACTAACACTAAGATATTTGAAAAGGACATAGGAAAACCTATTTTGTATTTCTTACTACACACACACACCATACACACACACACACACACACACACACACACACACACACACACACACATGAATTTAATTGCTATTACCCTACACAAGGGTTAATGCTCCTCTAAGAAGCCACAAGTTGCCAAATAGAAAGGCCAGGCAGGGCTATCCAGGAAGGCCCCAACATAAAGCAGGCTATGACTACTGCTCTTGGTTGCCCACCAGAACTTGATCACAAGACCCTATTGCTGAAGATGGTACACACTTAGGTCATAAGACATGGAGAAACCAAGTCGGTACTAATCATGAAGCTTCCTTCCTGCTAGCTAGCTTTCATGGTATCAGGAGGTCCTATGTAGGCTGCTGTGGGGAGAAAGTCATCAACAGTCTCTCCCATTTGTTAACCCTGTAAACTACAATAATGACTAGTATGACTAGATATGCCCGTGGGTACAATAGTAGTACAAATGTTAGGAGAATAACCAGTCTTTCTCATTTGGATTTAAGCCCACGGGGGGAATCAAAGGCCTGGCACTATACCTGGCCAAGTACCCATGGTTGAGAAGCTTACCGGCCCCAGACAAAAGCTATTATTCTCTTAAATAAACACAGTATCAAACTACCCTCTAAATTTGTATCTTCATAACTGTACACTAGTGCAGCACTTAGATCACATCAGAGAAGTTTATTTGCATGGTGGATAGCAGCTATTTCAGAAACTCACAAATATTCAAAGTACAAGAGCAAAGTGTCAGTGGAGCATTCAGCCACAAATGGGACATCTTTATCACTCCCTACCCCCATGGTTTAGGTTCTGTCTTGGAAGAGGAGACAGAGATTGTAAGAGCAAGCGGTTGGGAAGGACCAGAGAAAAGACACAGTCTCCAGGACTGGACAGGACCACTGCATCAAGAACTCAAGCACCTGTGGTTGCCTACAAAGATCAAGCTAGTCAGGCTTCTAGCATGGAGTAGAAAGGGGAGCTCATAGGCTCCTACCCATAACTGAGGAGTTATTGACAGCCAGTGGCTTCTGATTAAGGGAGAGTCAGTTTTCTTTAAGGGTGTGGCCCCTAATAGGGTGATCATACTCCAGTTTATAGCCCCACATCCAGGAGTATATGGACAGCACAAACTGACTTGGTAAGTTGTGTGTGTGTGAGAGAGAGGGGAGAGAGAGAGAGAGAGAGAGAGAGAGAGAGAGAGAGAGAGAGAGAGAGAGAGTTGTGTGTGTGAGGGGGGACAGAGAGACAGAGATAGAGAGGCAGAGAGAGAGGGGGCACAAAGCTGTAAGGGAGTAAGAAGATGGGAGGTGGGTCTGGGAGGAACTGGAGTGAATAGGAGTAAGAGATTATCTTGGTATTGTCTGTTGTGGTGAAGAGACACCATGACCATGGCAAGTCTTACAGTTTCAGAAGTTTAGTCCATTGTCATCATGGCAAGAAGCATGGGTGCACACAGGCAGACATGGTACTAGAGAAGTACCTGAGACTTTTATATTCAGATCCACAGGCAGCAGGAAAAGAGAGACTCTGGAC